ATGGCTTCTTCTGGAGAGGGCGGCACCTCAAAGCATTCCCACGGGGGAGTCCTGAAGTGGGGTAGCCTGGATTTTGGAGAAAGGAGCAGTACCGTCAGGAAGCAGTCCACAGGGGAACCTACTTGGGGAGCAGGGGGTGTTCCTGGGTGTCCATAGCCTCAATCGGGATACAGTTTATAGGAGGGTTTTTAAGGGATTGGCTCAGGGCTGGGGCCAGTTTTTCAGTGTCTGGGGCAACAACACAGGTACTTTTATTGGTATCTGGGAATGGTCAGTGCTGCGGCCTGGCCTCGAGCCTGCTGCAAAAATCCTGCTTACAGAGTGGTCAAGGTACTCTGTGATTTTATGCTGGGACAGAGAAAGAAACCCTGGGGTGGTGGGGACAGCTGTTGGATTCTATCAATCGGATTATGACATCAGAGGTTCCGATGAAGTCTACACATCTACCTCACTGATATAAAAAGTTGAACCATAAAAAAAACACGAAAAGTCTATTTAAATTTTTAAAATAAAAATTGAATATCTCTGAAAAACCCTGTATAACTGGATATATTACTTTCCTGGGGAAGCAACAAATTATTACAGATTTGGTGGCCACAGACAACAGCAGCCTGTACTCCTGACAATCGGGGGCAGAAGTCTGCACTTCCTGTGGGCCAGGCCATGCTCTCTCCAAATGCGCTGGTGAGAGCCCTTCCTGGCCTCTTCTGCTCTGGTGGCCCCTGTGCTCCCTTTTCTGTGTCTGTGTAGCCTCCCCCGTGCGGGGCCGTCTGTCTGACATGGTCCTCTCCTTCCAGCCCTTGGGTCAGGATGATCTCATCTCAAGAGTTTTAGCTTCATCGCAGGCACAGTGACCTTATTTCCCAATGGGATCACATTCACAGGTGCCGGGGCTTGTCTTTTGGGGGGATGGTGGTCAACCTACTACTATGGGTAACCAGTTTCCCCCGGGAAGTGGGCTTCAGAGGCAGGAGGAACAGGCACAGTGACCTTATTTCCCAATGGGATCACATTCACAGGTGCCGGGGTTAGGACGGGGCTTGTCTTTTGGGGGGACGGTGGTCAACCTACTACTATGGGTAACCAGTTTCCCCCGGGAAGTGGGCTTCAGAGGCAGGAGGAGCATGAGCTTGTCATTGCACAGTCACTGGAACTTGGCCACCTGGGCCTCTAGGGGGGCAGGCTAGGCACGAGGGCCCAGGGCTGGGGATGGGTCTGGAAATCGGGTGTGGGGGGTGTAGTGGGGGTGGAGTAGTTGATGGGGCCAAGCTTGGCAGGCACCGGTGCAGCGGAGGGTGTGGGATGTGAAGTGACTGCCCGTCTGGCTCCATCTGCTGCGGGGCCCAGGGCCCCTGCGGGCTTCTTCTCTCCCCTACCCCCATCCAAAATGCTGTCCCCAGCAGAGGACATCTGTGTCCCTCCTGTGGGCGCAGTTAGGAGCCCCCGATGGCAGGAAGCCTGGTGTCACAAGGGGGAAATGGGAAAGCCTGCTGCCAGCCTTTCTTGCTGCAGGAGGAGGCTTCGATGAGGGTTTCCTGGCAACAGGAAGGAGCACTTCCCAGGGACAAAGAAAAAGACCAAGGGAGGTGGCTTTGACCTCACTCCAGGTCCCCATCACTCCAGGCGCAAGAGGCCTGGGTCAGTGGGCTCTCGGGAGTGCAAATCAGTTGGGAAGTTGTTCCTCCTTCCTGGGAAGTGTGTCTCACGCTTTGCCACACGTGTCACTGGAGGCCCGAGCTGCCCTTCTCCCCACCACATCCTCCTGCCTGGCACATGGTAGATGTTCGCTGGACATTCGACCTAAGGAGCTCCAGGAATTGTGTGTAAAAGGAATCTGCTAATTGCATTACTGGAATTCTGAGCTTGGGCCTACAGTGGAATTGTGAATGTATCTACAGGGTATCTTTGCAGATTTCGAAACAAAATCTTTTGTCGAATAAAGCCCTCCTGAGTGCCCCTAAACTGGTCGTAAGAGCATATTTTGAAGGCAGTGCCTTGGGGAGGTCAGGACACGCTTGAGTAGGGATCTAGGCTAAGCAGAGGATGCCAAATTAAGGCTGGTCGAAGAAAGTCAGCAGGCGGCGAGGCTTGTGCAGAGGATTAGGGAGGGTCACCAGGCACAGGCACAGGCGGGGGCGGTGGACAGGAAGCACCGAGGAGGTGGGCATGGCACGCCCGGCTCCTAGCACGGGCCGGCTTCCAGCCCAATTAGGGTTTGAGATTGGTTTTTCCTCCCTCTGAGCGTAATCTGACGCTATTTGGGGAGGCAAGGCCGAAACCTGATCCTCCAGTCCCGGGGCTCCGTTAATGTTTAATCGGAGTGGATCGTCCGATGGGGCTCCGGTGGCGTGATCTCCCGGCCCCCAGGCGTCGAGCTCCCACACCCTAGAAGGCTTTTTGGACAGCGTCGAGGCTCGGACTCTTCCCGCCGGGTCACGCAGCTTCGAGCCGGGCGCGCG